GACCTTCGAGGAGATGATGCACAACGTGGGGTCCCTGCGGTTCCAGGTGGTGGATTCCCGCCCTGAGGGCCGGTTCCGGGGGACCGAGCTGGACCAAGGTAATGGTGGTGGGAACGGCACCTGCTCCCCTGCACCGCAACGGGATGAGTGTCAATGCTACTCCGGGCCTAACAGCTCCTCCCCGCCAGCAAACTGATTTTCCTAATGCACAGGCCTGCCTCTGCCCAACTCGCTGATGTACCTGAAGGGATCGAGCAGTCAGGTCCCAGTGCCCTCACAGAATGCTGTTGGTCAGGCTGGTTGTAAAGCTGCAGGAGGAAATGGCAGAAAAGGTCTGCAGTGAGTTGGCTCCAGGTTCCCCCACCCCACACCCTGCAGAAGTTAATCAGACAGAATGCAAACACTGGAGGAGAGAGCTCCCAGGGGTTTGTTCAGGGTCCTATCGGACACTAGCAGGCACGCACAAACTATCAGTATTCCTGCAGGCACCTCACCATAATGAATGCACCAGCAGAAACCCAGGTGTTCAGCAATACAGTAACCCCAGGGACGTTATCCTTGTTGCTCTGGTTTCCAGCAAATAGAGAACTTGCTTGAGCTGATCTTTGTCCTTTTGCTCTCTGCCATTAAACCTCACAAGCCTAAGTAAGAAAACCCCCAAACCCTTCCTGAATGTGTGGGCTGTCAACCTCTCTCTCTTTGGGATGCCCCAAATAACAGGAAGAAAAACCATTTTGTTACCTCAGTCCAACACTGGACACGCAAGCAGCTGGGCTGGGAGAAATCCCGTGCAGTGGGGGTGGCTGGTAAGCAGTGTGCCGGGAATGAAACTTAAGTTGGTTGTTAAAGGAGGCCTTTAACTGTGTAATTTAAGCTTCGGTGTAGCCCAGAATAACTTCTCCTCTGGAAAGTAAACACAGAAATGGTTTAAAAAGAAATGCAGTTTCGAAAACAAGGCAGGGAAAAGCTGGGCAGCAGCTGTTGGGTCTGAGTCGAGCTCCACGCTGCAGGAGCGAGCGTTGCGGCAGGCGTCTGCAGTGCTCCGGCCGTGCTGCGCTGCTGCCTTGCAGGTCGGTTGTCATTCCATCCTGGCTGTTTTCTTACCTCCGTGCTGCTGCACAGCCATCGAGTGTGACACCATGTCCTGCAACAAATTCCCGCAGCCAGACCTCGGGAGTGTTTGGCTGTAAATGGCTCTGTACACGTGGTTCATGCAAGTGTCTCCATCGAGGCCCTCAAACGCACTCGAGCTGTGCAAGACAGTGTGGAAGGTGAGAGGGGTAATGGGAGTGGCAGAGGATACTGTCGCAGGCAGAGAGGGGGACTTAGGCTTATCGCCATTCTGTTCCTTCACCTACTGCAGCCCATCAGAGGGTAGGTTGAATTTTAACCTGGATGTGAATAAAACGCCCCTCGCTGGGAGCCGGTGGATTTCACATTCTCTTTCCCAAAGTGAGAGTTGTCACCAGGTGACAAATACTGCAGCCCCCGACAGCATCCTGAAAACAGATTTTTCCTTTGAAATGAGTCAGCATGGAACAGTTTATTTGTGGTGGTCCAGTTTTGCTTCCCACAGCAGATCCAGCAGGATAAGCACTCCAGCTGCAGCTGCTTGTTCTACAGGAGCTTGACAGCCTTCTGAACCAGGCTAGTTGGTAGCTGTGCTACAGCCAGCAGTAGGTAAAAAGCAGCGCTTACACCTAAAAGAGCAATTTGAAATCAATGCTGATTAATTACGGGGGTCATCCAATGAGGGAGGAGGAACGTTGCCTGCAATTTAGAGAAGAATGGTCTTAAGGTTAAAGGAACTTGCCGTGTTCTCAGGTGATTTCAGTTTAATTATTGCCTCAGCTCTTGACTTCCTAATTAAGTCAATTAATCTCTCCAGTTCCATGAACTCCATCTCTACAAGAGGCTAATTTCAGCTGACTCTTTCACCTCTTCAGTTTCTTGTGGTAAGAATTAGTTGTCCCTGTTTTATTTTTATGCAGCAGACCCCTTGCTGGCATTTAGATCACTGTAGCGTTTAAGGTAAGCTGTAATACGTGGCTCATTTTTGGTTGCTGGGAGGGCTTTACCCAGGTTTCCAGGGTGGAGAAAAATGGACGGCGTTTCTATAAGCTGGGTCGCATAGGTCTTAAATGCAGGTCTTGCTTTGGGTGAAAAAGCTGGGATGTTCATGCATAAGCCCCTCGGATGTGCAGCCCTGACCTGTGCATGGGGTGGGTAAAGGTGTCCCTGCACAGTGCGGGGTCTCTGGGGGAACTAGCAGCTTGGGCCCGCTCACTCGTTGCAATTCAGCAACGGCCCCACCAGGCTCTGCAAGGGGCTGCTTACTCGGGCGCTGTGGGGTGCAGGTCTACAGCACCAGCCTGAAGTGAGACAATCCCAGACAATCCAGGGACAGGTGATAAAAATAATTACATGCTGGCTGCCAGTGCTGACTCTGTGTTGGACACTGAAAACTGAGGAACAAGAATTATGGCTGAACGAATGCGCGCAGGGAAGCTGTGAATTTCTGAATTCTTTTGCAGACACCTGAGAAAAGTGGGGAAAGTTGCCAGACAAGAAATCTGTCACCTAAGAAAGGAAGCAAACCAAAGTGATTTCATGAGCTTCCAACTATTTTTCTCCTCATTCTCAGCCCTTAGGTAGTCCTTGTTCCCCTTGTGCATACACAACTTGAGGTTTTGCCCGTTTTCCCAGCTCTCAGTCCTCCCTGCCCCAAATATAAAGCTTTTGCTCCGCTTGAACGTTCAGTGGCAGTGAGAATGAAATGTTGTTGGTTCTTCCCTCTCTTCTCCAAGTGCAGTCTGCAGCTGAGAGTGGACCGGCTCTACTTTAACCATGAAGCAGTAGTATTCGAGGCACAACATGGAGAGGGACAGACTTGACCAAAGTCTGTTTCAACCCACAGGAACCTACAATCTAAAGGTGTCCATTCATGTGACGAGGTTGACAAACGCCAGTGCCTAGAATTAGCACCACGGCCCCGCTGGTTCTTAGAGCGGACTCTTCTGGCTGTGTATGCACACGGTATTTTGACATTGGTGGCAAAGGCCTATTGACCTGACTGCGGGGACTCTCACGGAGCTGGCCAGGACCAAGCTTCACGTGCTCCTTCCGATGAGTTCACAGCAGGTGAGATGAGATCACTAATGGTCCTTTCCGAGGCATACAATTTGAATGGAAGATAGAGAGAAAAAAGGAGGCAACAGATGAGGCAATTGGAAAGGATGAGCTATCTGCAGCCAGCCAGCTCTAAGACCACGGGGAGTTAAATGTGGACGAGGCTCATCTTTTATCTTTTTGACATTAAGAAATTCCATCTGGAGCTTTCATCGCAAAGGGGAAGGCTGGAGAGAAGGAGCTGTAGTCTTAACTAGATAAATAGCCACCAAAATAAAAAAAAAAAATTAAACAGACAATCTTAACAGATGTGGAAAAGGGGATTAAGCAGTGAAGAAGATAACATATTACAGGTTACAAATTGTAAGGGAGGATTGCCAGGAGGCAAGCTGAGTGAGACTTGGCAAAAAGAATTAAAACAAATAACAAAAACTGCTGGAGCAAAGTGAATAAAAAGAGAACAAGGAGAGAAAGAGTAAATAGGGTTGCTATGCAGTTAGCAGGGGTTCCAGATGAAAGATTATTTGTGTACAGCCTCAGAATTACACTGGGTCTGTGCTACCGTTGCTTTTTTTTCTCCTGGGGATAAATCTGCAGAGCAGGGGGAGGGGTAGCAAGAAGAAGGGGAAAGAAACAGAAATGATCCTTTCGAAAGAGGGGAGATAACCGAAAGATGGCCGTGTGCTCAGATCTGTGGGGCAGACGATGTCCAACCCAAGTATGTGTCAGAAATCAGGCGTGTGGCAGTGCAACTCTGTGAGGCAAGAACTGAATATATTTAGGCAGAGCATGGTTTTGCAGGACAGAAACGCTGGCAGAGTTTGTGTTCGCAGTTAGGACAGGAGGTACAGCACAACCTAGGCAGCTGTTATCTGTTAGAATAGCATGCACAGACTGGAAGGCTTTCCAAAAACTCCTCAAGAAAAATTATTTGAAATGAAGGCAAAATTGAGTAAAATACCTTGGTAAACTCGCACTGCAGCTAAGGGCTCTATTTCCTTGCCAACAGGATTGATTTGCCAGGTAAGAGAAATGGGAACATGCATGCCTGGAAGTTCTGTCTGATCTTCTTCCAGCCATTGGAAGCACCTACGAGGTAGACTTGCTCCATTTAGGCTTCATTAATACTTTGGACATAAATTAGAGGGGCAATTATTAGTTCGATGTGAGAAAGGAGTAAATAGCACAAATGCTGTTAGATTCCCCAAAAAATGACTGTAAGGGAGATAAGAATAGCTTGTGCTGAAAGCAGATCTGTGGGGCTGGAAGCAGATCCGTAGGGCTGGAAGTTGCTAGCACGATCCCATCATTACGCTTCTGTGTTGTATTCCGTAGTTTTCTGAATCACCGAGGCACTGGAAACAGGGAGTTGCTACTGAAACGTGTTGGTGGCACAGCCTTGGGAAGGTTTAAATGGTGAGGCACCACCTGCAGCAATAAAAGTGAAATACAAGGCTACAGGACCTTTGGTAGCTTGAAACACTTAATTTCTTGTGTTTCTCTTACAAGCTGAAGACCCACACTTGGAAGCAATAAAAGAGGCTAAGACTTGGGTGAATGAGTTGAGTGCAACAGCCTCAGATGCGATTTGGCCTCGACAGCAGCAGTTATGAACCTCCTGAACCTCCAGTCCACCAGTCACGACGCTGGGCAATGCCGCTTCCTTATCCAGAAGCCTGGTGGTCACCTGGGAGTGTTTGCAGGGTGGCCAAGGCAGTGAAAAGTACATCTGTCAGGCTCTTGCTGGGTGTAGGCTGAGGGCATGAAGCTGCTGGGAGCACTGGGTGCCCACCGTCGGTGTGTTGGAGCGATACAGGAAGGGAGAGAACCAATTTCAGGCCCAGGGCAATGTTAGCTCAAGGATAAACCGTGTATGGACCGGCTGTGTTGAACTTAACGCTGGACGTCAGTATTCCTCTTCACGTGAGCCAGGAGTGGGAATTTTCATGGCAAGAATCCAAACTGGTTCTGAGATGGATGCTTTTATGAGAGGGAACCTATAAAGTGATCACTGTGGTAGCTGGGAGCCAGGCTCTGCAATCCTAGGGTTCCTTCGTGGAGTTTCTAAGGGGGACTGCAGGAGTCTGGTGTGGAGTACGCTCCCTGTCATATGAGGCAGGAGCAGATGTATCCTCTCCCCTGTTCAGATCCCAGCTGCATCCAGCCTCGCCTTCCAGTCTTGTGTTTCTCTGCTCTTGTCCTAGCAGAGAGAGCTGGTAAAACTTCCTCAGCCACTCAAGAGCTCATCTTAGGCAGTCGGAGGGATTGTGGTTGTGCAGTGTCAGCCCTTCCTTTCGGGTGAACACCCCCACGCACAAGTAAACCCAGTTTCTACAGAATTCCCCATCTTCCACTCACACAGGGCAAGCGCCGGTGTCTGGCTCCAGCGGACTTGTGAATCTCTGAAACAAGGAAATCTCCCTGTAGATCAGACTCAAAAATGCTCTGAAATGAGGCGGTTCTTTTCAGATGTGCTGAGCTCCTCACTGCAGAGTTGGTTTGGGATGGCGAGTGTACGACACGGCAGTCTCCAGTAAGAGAGGGCTACAGACCCACCTGCTGTAAGATGTGTGAACCGTGTAGAAAAGTGATGATGACAGTTCCTTGCCCATGGCATTGGGGGTGGAGCTAGATGATCTTTAAGGTCTCTTCCAACCCAAACCATCCTGTGATTCTGTCATTCTATGGCCATGAGGCCTGGGACACCTGAGACCTGAATCGGTGACCCAGCGAGTTAATTTGAGCAAAAGCTGGCCCTTCATCCCCCAGGACTTCTTGATCCCAGCACACTTCCCAGTGCCCTAGGATGGTGTGAGAGCATTGTCCTGCGGCTCGCAGAGCCGGCTGTAGCAGGGTGAGCACCAGCGCTGCAGCAGGGCCATGCAGAAATCCCTCGCCGAATGGCAGGGTCAGGACCCTGGACTCGGTGCGAAGGTGGTAGCCTAGCCCAGACGTGTAGCTCTCCAGTAAGAAGCTCTGCAGTCTTCTGAACTGCAAACAAGGTTGTCTCACTCTCGTTTTTTCTGTTATTTTTATTTCCCTTCTGTCATACAGACACTGTATTAATGAGTGCGGCTTTTGCAGTTCTCCATGCTGAAGTGATGAACTGTTGTTTTCTGGAACTGGAAAAAATGTGGTGAAAGCATCAGTCCAAAACTGTCTTTTTTTAATGTGTGGGGTTTTTTTAATGCTAGACCCTTCAGAAGTCAGCAGTTTTTGTCCCAGCTTCTCCCTGTAATGCTGAACACTTCTGAAGGATGCACAGCATGACTAGTAGGCAACAATGCCAGATTTCTAAGGGACAAAGAGGGTCCCTCTGGAACAGGGAGAGAGCTTGGGAAGCTGCCTCAGGGCAGCTTTGGTTGTCTTTAGGCTCTCACTCTTTGTCCAGCAGAGCAAAAATCCCCTCCCCAGCACCCCACCGAAACCCCATTTCCCCATGTGACACATCACGTCACGACATCACTCTTCATGAGCGATGAAAGCGCAGTGTCGTTATGATGTGCGATTGCCAGTCTCCGACCAGCTGTACCATCTGACTGGTACAAAGGCTTCCCTGCCCCAGTCTCTCCCGCCTCCTGCGATTAGTTACCTTGAAGGCGTAGACAAGTGGAAAGCTGTCAGTGAAACAGATTTTTATATGTTTATATGACTTTACCAGGGCTGTCTCGTTAGAAATTCAAACCTAGCAAGGAACCATTCCCTGAAATGCATTTTCAACGCCATGTATCGTATTTCCTGCTCCAATGAGGCTTGATGTAAAGCCTCTCAAAGTCAGTGGAAAAGCTTCTATTGAGTGTAATGGCTTTGATTAAACCTATAGTGACAGAGTTTGAATTTCAGGGGCATGATGAAAAGCTCATCCATCACATTTTTACATCTGCTTCCCTCTAAAGACCTTGTTCTGGAGATGCAACTTTCAGCTTGCCCGAAGTGATCAGTTACACCACTGGAAAGACAGAACCGGTGCTGATTTCATCCACGGAGTGGGTAAAGAGTGATACAAACTCCAAATTCTCCCTCCTCTGGCCTGGGATGGCTGGCTCAGCGGTAATGTGGCTGACTTTAACGTTGCTTTACTTTTCTGAAATACGACTTGAAGTCGACACAGTAATAAACTGTGAACAGATAACCACGCTCACAAATTCCACATACAAGCCACAAAACTGTGTCGCTAGGCACTGCTGGCATACTTGGGGAA